GCAAAAGGAGCGAGGAAAGACGCATCGTGCGAGAAACGAGAATAAGTACTTCCTCTCTCGCACCGTGAATCGCACGCGCGGATTCCCACGCTGCGAGATAAGACAAGCGGGAGATAAAGAGAAACCACGAGAGAGAGATGTGAAGGGGAAACGGAGAGTGAAAAAAAAAGAGGAAAAGGACGATGGGAAGAGAAAGGACGGGGGGAGAATAGAAGGAGAATGCATGGAGGCCGGCTGAGAGAGGAAGGAGAGCCCGGCGAGGACGATGTGGGAAAAGAGGAAGCTAATCAGAAGCGGAAGTACGCTCTGGCGAGGCCCGAGGCCTTGAGAAGACATAGTCGACCGCGCAGCTTTTAGCTCTCTTAATTGCAACTTCATTTAACGTGGCGTTCGGCCAATCCTACGACTTGCCGGCAAGAGCGCGTCTTAATAAGCGTCTTATCGCGTATGCGAGAAAGAAGCGCCTGAGAAGAAAACGAAGCATACCGTGAGTAAAGACGGAAAAGAGCCCGAAGAGAAAATATGCTTGAAGAAAAGTGCCTCGAGACGAGGAGTCGCCATCGACGGCGGCGATGCAAATAGAACGACGAGAAGTTCTTATATTTAATTTTAACTCGGGCAAACTTTCTACTTTACAACAAAATAAACGTTACATTATGTACATAATAAATGCGATAACGGCATATTTCTCAGCATTTCGCAGAGGAATATCAGTCACATTTATTACGTGCAATCTAAACGGGCGAGTAATAAAAATTGCTCGTAGAAAAAAATTTCATCGGATTGCGTGAATATACGCTGGGCTGTTTTTCTTCTCAAAACACGGAAGTTGATAAGAGGTTTACGAATACTAGACTTCGATGCGTCAGATAATCCTGATTGCGGTTATCTCGTAATATCCACATTAATGACAACCGCGATAATAGGATTTTCAATACTGGTCATTGATGATAGAATAAACGCCACGTGTCCAGCATTTTTTGCTGTTTATTAGTGAAAGTAATCAATTTGAAAGATAAAATTTCTTCGGAAAAGGGAAAAGTTATTAGCTGTTGATTCGATTCGTTAAGCTTACGGCCAATTGATAGAAACGATTAGTTTACTCAACACGTGTTACTCACTCACGATGGATTCCACGATTCACTCTATCGATTGATTAATATCAGCGCATATCAGATGCACTACATAGCGACCGAAGAATAGTATCGGAGATTACAAAATCGTTCGTTATCTCATTAATTAATTGTTTCAATCTCATAATCCACTTGTGCTTCGTGCTGCGCGTTATTCGACAAGTATTCTCGAGAAAAATCTCAAGTATTAATATATATATATATATATATATATATAGTATATATATATATATATATATATATATATATATATATATATATATATATAT